ATTTTTAACTAGTATAGCGTGAACTACTTAATGCTCATTTAACAATACCAATAGTGCTCTATTTAAAATCACAGAGGCGTCACATGCGTTCACATTTTAGATTTTGGTTGATCAGAGAATTCAAATGCAGGTAATCGCCAGATTTTATGTATGTACTATTCAATCATGACGCCACCGACAAGACATACACAATATTGATTTTTTAATTTACTGTTGACAACACATGTATGATTTGTGACCCCAAAAGTATGGTTGATTTGCTTCTCTCAATCATAACCTAAACATACATTGTGCAAGAGCTAAATCTGCCTATTGCAGATCTTGCTTTAGGTCTGAAATGTTATCTAAATTATTAATTAGACATTAATTAACTTATCCAGACCATAATCAAATCTCGATGTCAACGTTAGCCTGCGATATTTACTGAATTATGATCTGATGTACTGCTCAATGTTCTTTCATGATTTAATCATGAAATGGATAATTGAGACTATGTTTTTATCGTATCGACTTTAGTAATGATGATCGAGACTAGATCGAAAATTCAATCGCTAAAATCTCGGTTCAGAGTGGTTCAATTTGACTGAAATTTTCAGCAAATTCCCTTTACATTATATAGTTTTTAACTATTATATAGTGAGAACTGCCAGGTCTTTATCTAATCTCACATAATGTACCTTTGAAATTATTAACGAATTCAAAAGTATGTAATCACTGGAATGTATGCACATTCCAATCATGACGCAGCTTTCAAAACATAAACTATCTTTTTTTATTTGCTGTAGACAACACACACATAATTTATAGCCCCGAAAGTTGTTTGATTTGCTATTGTAAATCAAACCTTAAAAAAAAATTATTACCGAATTCAAGAAATAGGTAGATCACAGATTGTATGCACTCTTCAATCATGACGTCGCTTGCAAGACATTTTACAATTATTTTATTTTCTGTAGACAATATAATTTATGACCCAAGAAGTTGACATGACGTATAGTTATATATTAAACATTTTTGAGAAACGCTTGCTGTGATAAATGGGCTTTCCTATTAAGTGTGTGTGTGAGAGAGAGAGAGAGAGAGAGAGAGAGGAGAGAGAGAGAGCGAGGGGGAGGGGTTTAACGTCTACTTGACATATGGTTCAATTTTATTTCAATAATTCGCTTGTGCGTAGGGTGGAAACCGGAGGACCCTAAGAAAACCCACGAGGTTGGACATGCGACCCTATTCCTTGTCACGTAATAATAATAATAATGTACATTTATATAGCGCTTAATCCATCCATGAGCATGCTCTAAGCGCTGTAAGTTAATGGCTTCTGTGGATAATACATCGTGAACATATGCGTCTTAAGTCTAGATCGAAATTGAGCAACTGTTTCTGAACACTTTATTTTGTCAGGTAAGTCATTCCATAGTCGTGGACCATATACACTGAAGGCTTTATCACCAAAAGATTTTAATTTAGTTGAAGGTACAACAAGTGATAGATTATTCTGTGAACGGAGTGGTCGGTTTGGTACATAAGGCTGCATAAGATCTGTGATATAGGATGGAGCTGAATCATGCTGAGACTTGTAGACCAGTGTTAAGATTTTAAAGTTTATACGAGCCTCTATTGGTAACCAGTGAAGCGATTTAAGGACAGATGTTATATGTTGACGTTTTGCTGTTCTTGTGATGATTCTGGTACAACCGGGAAATCGAAACCATACCAATTGACTCAATGACAGACCTTATGATGCAGCGTACACACGCTAACCAACCTTATGATGCAGCGTACACACGCTAACCAACCTTATGATGCAGCGTACACACGCTAACCATTCGGTCATATGTTTCTCTCTCTCTCTCCCTCTCTCTGGGGGGTTGGGTGGCTGAATGGTTAGCGTGCGCGCGCTGTATCATAAAGTCTGTCATTGAGTCGATTGGCGTAGTTTCGAATCCCCGGTTGTACGTGACAAGGAGTGGGGTCGCCTGTCCAACCTCGTGGGTTTTCTCCGGGTCCTCCGGTTTCCTCCCACTGGTAAAGACCCCAACGCGCAAGCGAATTATTGAAATAAAATTAAACCATATGTTAGTCCCGAAATGACCTAGTTTGTGTCGAGTGGACGTTAAACCCCATTTCTCTCTCTCTCTCTCTCTCTCTCTCTTATACACTATTATTGTAAATAGTCTTCATTTTCTACACTAAACTGTTCCTTTTATACCGTTTTATTTACTGTCAATCTGATTAAGATATTTCATTTCATTTTTTTACACTTTCGACGGTCTACACTTCATGAAGATCTAACCAGTTGTATTGGAAGGTCGCGTAAGAGCGGCTTTTGACCTATGACGTAAGACATTGATTAATCAATCAGCATTGACGTTTCTAGTGGTTTACCCACAGTTCCGTACATGACACGCCAAGAAGTCGCCGTAACGGATTGTTTCATTGACTAATCCCTCACGCCATCCAGAACACCTGTTATATAACAACTCTTACAGATCCTAGTGCAGTACAGACAAATAAAACGAAATTTTGAACTATAAAAAACGAAAAAAAATAGGATCTGTGTTTTAATCAGATTGTTTTATTGTGTTTTTATCATAAATCTAAAAATTATTAGTTAAAGGCGTAACACCAAAGATGAATAAATTGAAATAAGTGTACATTATTTAACTTCAATCTGCTAAATTTGTGCTATGGCCGCAAGGCTTCAGGCATGAATAAAGATTAATTATTCTTATTTATTTAGCCTGTCTCATATACATGTATATTGTGCGCAATATTCTCTGGTTGAAGCTGGAGTCGTATAAACCTGCATTTTCATCTAGGTACAATTGCTGAGTTTATAGGCGTACGGGCTCGATGACAGTTGTGGGGGGGGGCAGAACCCGAATGGCCAGAAAATATTTCAGGTTACAGATGGTGTATCCGGGTTTCTGCGAGAGCGGAGGGGCGGGGCTTACTGTGTTGGAACTCCCCAAGAACACTTTGGAAAATTTGACGGCCGCAAACGCGTTTACAGGCAATTCCACCCCGTAAATACAGCAGCTTCAAAATTGTCTACTATAGCCTAATTGAGATGGCTGCCTCGAAATCCAATTTTGAAAATTTAAGTCCCACAAACGCGTTTTCCTGCTCTTCCAGCCCGTGAATACAGCCTACATTAGGTGGCTGACCCGAATCCCAAACAACCAATAGTCTGGTATGGCAACCTTGCCCTCCGCGAGAAAGTCTTGAAAATTTAACCTCCGCAAATGCGTTTTTTCTGCTATTCTAGCTCGTGAGTTAATCAAACCCAAAGTTGTCCAATAGTTCTGAACTCGAAATCCCACTCTATGCCGACCTGAATTTCAGCCATCCAACCAGACTACATTCACAAATAATAATCGATGTCCGAGAAATGTCGCACAAAGTAGAGTGGCTCCAGACAAAATGTTTTAATCCATAGTCAATTCAGTACAAATTCGTGGTATTCAATTACAAGAAAAGTAAACTGAGTGTTTTATTAGATGAAATAATAATTTTATTTTGGTCACATTACCCGTCTGCCCGAAAAGTCATACTGCCCGACAGGTAGGGCACCTGTCCCCTACGCCCCCCCCCCCCTCCGGCTCTTACGTTTATGGCTAAGTTTATGTGAAACAAGATACAGTAGAATCTGTATGAACAGCCAATCCTATTCAACGACATCTCCTTGTAAGCGGTCACGATAAATCCCCTCCGTAAAAATTCTATTGTTTCATGTCTTTATTCAACGGTCATTCCTCTAACGCGGCCAGCGGTCACTATTTTACTAATAAATTTAACAAAACATCGCCCATTCTACGGCCATTGTTGAATGATACCATCTTGTCGTTCTTTGTAACACCCCCGCTAATCCCGTGAGTAGTAGTTAATTAACTGAACCCCCACTGATCAGGTAAAAAGAAATGTAAAAATAACAATCAACCCGGGATTATCTGTTTATTAATTTTTTGTTTTATTAAACGACTAACCTGACCATTATTTTCACGCGGAACGCCACATTATTTGATACTGATTGAATAAAATAAAAGTACCGAATTTTGTCACGATCATCTAGTATGTTTTTTCCATTGCCATTTTGTTCTTAAACAGACGTTTTGGCGCCTCCTATAATATTACATACAGAGTTACACCCCCTGTAAATCGGTGATAAAATCAGCGATGTTTTTTTTGTTCATGTGCTTTTTTGATAAAATAAAATTAATTCATCGATTTTCTTCACAAAAATGGATAAATATTATCGAATACATCACAATGGTAGACAGTGTATAGAAGGTTGGTACAAAATGACAAGTTTACAGAAGTTATGTCCGAGATTTGAGTAAAGAATTTTCGTTCGGTGCAAGATTCAGCGACGGTCAAATTTACCGATGCAAGTATATAACCCACCCTTTTCAATTCTTTAATCATCAAACCAACTCAGTTCTATGGCCATTAACAAATTTATAAATAGAAATGTATGCTAGGTCTCGCTATTAGTAGGAATAGGTGCGGTTCAGGTCATAAAATAAATGAAATGAGGTTTATGGGGCTTTAAACGTCATTTCATTTCAATTCCTAAAATAACGACCATCGACATTAACAGAAATTTCGAACAATGGACTGCGAGGACAGACAAGTTTTAACAGGATATGGTATATTTGACAAAAGAAATTTCAGAATAGAGGTTAACTGTTGAAAATTGTAAAACCACGGTTGATAGTCGGCAGGCAGCTTTAAAATAATCATTTGCTGGACGTGGGTATATCTCTAAATGTTAGTTGTGCCACGATTATTTCAATCTGTTTCACAGAGGATTACGAAACTCTGTAAAAGATGACTGCTTTGAACACATGAGGTCACATCACACCCCGTCAATCGTTGCCTCAATGGCGCGTGTATTGTTTACATACGACGGTACTTGCCTGGGCAGAATGGTGCCTTTTACTCATTTTACATACTCATTTACACTAAATAGGACATATTTTGTTTACCTACATATACTTCAAACACCTTTATTTAATTTTCTAATGCTTATAAAATGTTCTAGAATTTAATTTGCAGAATGAAAAAGGTTAATGTTGGGGGCTCATTAAGCCGCACCGATGTCACCCCTCTCAGTGATTGTAGCAGTCTAGCAAATATTCACTGCTGATCAGTGTGGGATTATTGGTGTTTTAAGACGAGGGGTGCTGTCTGTAGACACCAGATCACCATTTCAGTTTACAAATCGCACCAGTTCCAAACAATCGTATCTTCAATCGTGGAATAACTACACCTCAGCCTGCAAAGAAAAAGCCAGTAATATTCATTCGGTTTGTCACGGCGTAAAGCTGAAATAAGAGAGAGAGGGGGGGGGGGGGGGTAACGTCTACTCGACATAAACTATGTCATTTCGGGACTAAAACATGGTTCAATTTTATTTCAATACTTCGCTTGCGCGTCGGGGTCTTTAGTAGTGGGAGTAAACCGGATGACCCGTAGAAAACCCACGAGGCTGGACAGGCGACCCTACTCCTTGTCCCGTACAACCGGGGTATTTAAACCCCGCCACTTGACACAATGACAGACCTTATGATACAGCGCTCACGTGCTAACCAATCAGCCACCCAATCGCCCTAAAGCTGAAATAATCAGAATCAATAGGAAATCCCCATTCTGATTAAAATACATTCATTTCGCTTTGTTTTACTCTCGATGGCCCCCATTATATCTGTAAAACGAAATTTTGAACTATAATCTATATTTCGTTTCGTTTTATTATACTCTCGATGGTCCCCATTACAACAGTAAAACGAAATTTTGAACTATAATCTATATTTCGTTTCGTTTTATTATACTCTCGATGGTCCCCATTACAACAGTAAAACGAAATTTTGAACTATAATCTATATTTCGTTTCGTTTTATTATACTCTCGACGCCCCCACTTCACCAATAAAAGGAAATTATGAACTATAAAAAAACAAAATATGATCTGTGTTTTATTCAAATTGGGAGAAACTAATAATAACAATTTCAGAAAGATTGAATCATAATTGAAGCTAAGGAGAGTAACTCTGAAAGTTATGATTGGAAATCGGTCTTTTCAATTGGATATACAACCAATGTATACCCTAATAAAAGCGTATATGGCGCTAAAAGATTTCGTAAGAAAGGAAAATAACTCGGGGCGTGATAATCTAAAATCGTGGAAAATCAACAGGACCCTTTCTTTAATAAATATCACAAAGATCTGACCATAATTCGAAATAAATGGTAATATCTCTAGAAATTGTTAAAAATAGTTGCAAATAATTCTATTTCTTAATTTTAATCAAATATGTTGGGATAACAAGAAATGTGCACAGCGGCCTGGTAGGGTGGTGGCCATGTACGACGATAAGAATACCACCAGTGACCGGTTCAATCGGATCGTGTAGATGTCCCCTTAAAATACAGACTCGATTGAGTTTGAGATTTTTTAACGTCCTGTTCTGCTCCGACTGGACTAACGAAGACAGGACCTTTAAATACAATCTCGATTGAGTTTCAGATTGTTTAACGTCCTACTGTTTTGCTCCGACGACTGGTTTAACGAAAGCGGGACCTTAAAACACAGACTCGATTGAGTTTCAGATTGTATCATTGATGAACATAGTCCAGATGTTCAATCAACAGGAAACATATTTATAAAATGAACGGTTCACAACAGGACTGTCTCCCTTTGTGGGAGAAGCCTTAATTATATTGTGGTCGCTTCTGATTCTGCTTGGACACGCTCAGAGTATATTAAGAAACATGTACGAAGAAGTAAACGCATTCATAGACGTTGGTTACGGTGATATTTGTGGCGCTTAATTACATGTTTATAAAATGCTACTTCAGATGTGTATAACCCAAAATTTGCATAGTCATCCCCATACAAGCTTATGGGCAAACACTGCAATGTGTTGTTCTGTCCGTGACACAGAGCGCCAAGCCCAATTAAAATCTTAGGAAACGTTAGAACCGGACAAAGAAACAAGAATAATAAATACCTTGAGAGAATATTTTGTGGTCTGCAGCCATATGGTGTGAGACAGAGTTGTCAGTTACCTGTCTTTCTATTCACGATCTGAACATAGAACATGTGTGAGATATTAAATATCAAGATTACAATCATTAAACAACATACGAAGTGTTCGTTTTGCACGGAGGTCTAGCAAGTGATAGAGTGTCCTTCTGAATAAAACACATGCCCGTTCTGTCTAATTTCCAGTTAAGAATTTGAACATGTATCTCCGTGCATTGAGAACTATGTTCATAGTCGAACTCTTATAGCCACGTTTGAAACACATATTCAACAGTACATTAATAGCAAACGAGACTTAAAATTAAAATACGAAGATTGATGTAAACGGGAGAATACGTTAAAATAAATTATATTATCGCATACTACAATTAAACGTTTGCCATCAAGACTTGGGAACAAACTGACAATTACTGCGGAGAATCGAAGGTTTTAATATTTGGAAAATACGATCTGGACACACGCGATCTGGCATCATTTGCCGCCAAAGTTTGAATCCCAAATTGTGGACGCAAATGATGCCATATCGCGTGTTTCCAGCTTTTATTCGTCTTTTCCAAATATTAAAACCTCTGATTCTTTAGAAATATGGGAGTTTGTCTATTTCAGCTTCATAGATAGAAGATTGATTTAATTGTCGAAATGTATGTTTGGGCAACAACAGAGTTCATCAGAAGTACTTTATTTACCCCCATTTGCAAATGTAGTTACCGAAAACACACTATCCCATTTTTAGAGTGATGCAATATAAATTCTTTGTAATTTGCCGTTGGTCAACTTCAACTATGCATTCTTCCTTCTGTGAAACACTGCTATATTACTTCCAATTATCGACAAATTGAGACATATATTTATCCTAAAATTCAATTAGCGGGATTTCGACGGAAATACTTCAATTTTGTTTTAGGTTTTAGTTTCCTAATAATTGCTAAAACCCATCAAAATGTCTTAAAAATCCAGATTATCGATTTACAACGATCGGAACATCTAAAAAGGCAGGTGTGGCTACAGATTGGCATATGTATTTCAACTGTCAAAACGACACAAAAGAGAGACTAGTAAACCCAGGAGATTGGGAATACAGAAGCTCTATATGTATTTAAGGAATGTGTCTTGGGAGTTCTATAAAGCGCCGTTACTGACTATATTATTTATAATTTATAATTGACATGTCAATAATTTTATATGATGTCATTAGTAATCATAATAATCCGATCGATAGGTATCCAAAATAAACTTACAAGATTATCGCAATCAGAATAAACTTACAAGATTATCGCAATCAGAATAAACTTACAAGATTATTGCAATCAGAATAAACTTACACTTACTAAATTATCGAAATCCAATCACTAAGCTTGTTCAGTAGTGAGACTGATCTTAATACCGACCCCGACATCCTTCACACTACGAGATCGGTCCAGTATTCATCAGCAGTTTGTGTATCCAGCCCAGTGGTCCAGTTCTTTATCGTGTCTTAATACCTATACGACCAGTGCTCTCATTACCTTATTAGAACAATACAATGTAGGCATATTTCAAACCGGTGTTCTTTGTACACGAACTGCTTGAGAACCTGAATCAAAAACAAAAGAAGTGGGTTAACATGTTAACAATACCATGTTGATTAATATCTGTTAATCTACTTTATATATTTTATGTGTGTGCATAAAGGGCGTTTCCACGAGTCGTTCAATTCCAATTTCCACAGGATCTATCATGTGCACTATTCACATGTGGTAAACAGGCTATTTGTAACATACATAGACAGTATATTGGATTTTTTGTTAAATTTGCAACTACCCGCTTACCTCACCTCCAAGGGGAATTTTTACAATTTTTAGGTCCCTCCCACGACACCCCCTTCCCAAAGTCATGAAAATTCAACTGATACAGTGTCCATCTCAACGGTACAAGAAACAAACCCAAAGGTTTCTTCTCGAGAATCAAATACCGTGGACGCTGGCTCAATGAACATATCACATTGACTGCAGTGCAAATTACTCTCACACTTTTTATGTTTACTTTGCATATTAACTTCTACCCCCGCATGCCCTACATACATCCCCCACCCCCATCCCTTCTCTTGATAAATCTTCGATACGTCCATGACACACATACCGCCTCTGACAACTCCGAATCGGAATGAAATATGGCAAAAGTTCATCAAGAAACGCATGAGATACTCCGGTCCTTAGTCCCTCTTCCATATATCTATGGGGAAAATAATTGAAATAAGTAAATATCGTGATATCATTTCCAATAAAAACTATTTCACCAGTTTCTCTCCACGCTAGGATTGTATGATTTATGTTTCCCGAATAAAACCAGTGCCTATTGTTATAGTGATTGGCAGCTGTTGACATCTAGCGAGTTAATGATCGACGTAACTCATAGTTTATGGCTCAAATTTAGAGTGGTCTCGTTGATAGATCACGACTGAATGAATGAACACACGATCTGCGTCATACTGCACATAGAGAACTATCTATTTTGAAAAGAGATCTCTGACCTGTATGAACGCCATATTCAAAAATAAGTATACCAATTTGTAATGCTGTTCTAATCTGCTTTACCCTTTTCACTTGGGCGGTAGTATAATATGTCCACGGTAAACTGTGGGCATGAGAGAGAGAGAGAGAGAGAGAGAGGGGGGGGTACTTTGTAATTCTGTTCTAATCTGCTTTACCCTTTTTACTTGGGCGGTAGTATAATATGTCCACGGTAAACTGTGGCCGTGAGCGAGAGAGAGAGATGGGGTTTAATTTGTAATGCTGTTCTAATCCGCTTATAATACGTCCACGGTAAACTGTGGGCGTGTGTGTGTTTGTGTGAGAGAGAGATAGAGAGAGGGGGTGGGTTTAACGTCCACTCTACACAAACAAGGTCATTTCGGGACTAACACATGGTTCAATGTTATTTCAATAATTCGCTTTCGCGTCGGGGTCTTTAGCAGTAGGAGGAAACCGGGGGGGGGGGTCAGGAGAAAACCCACGAGAATGGACAAGCGACCCTACTCCTTGTCACGTACAACCGGTGAATCTAAACCACGCCAGGTGACTCAATGACAGACCTTATAATACAGCGCGCACGTGTTAACCATCCACCCCCCCCCCCCTTAACTGTGGGCGTATAATAATCCTCTCATCGGCAAAGTGTGTAAAATTCTGTGAACGTTAAGTCGAAAATGGCAACCATCTTGGAAAATGATGGTTATTTTGAAAATTCAAATGGTTAACAGGATTTTCTTAATAAATGACCCTAAACGGACACCCATGCAAATTTCGGTTCTTGTATCATGATTTGATTTTTTTTTTACACTTTAGCTGTTATTGATGTTTTAAGATGGCTTTTCCCTTATCAACCATCTGTGCAGTCATTAGGGGTTGGATAGTGAGGTTCCGCAGGCAGTACGAACTACGAACTACGAAGTGTTTATGTGCTGACGTCATCACTTCGTGTGATGTCTTGACATAAGCGGCGTTAGGTTCGTCCATTTTCTACGAAGAAATCGGGAAAAGTTCGTGGTTAAAAAACGAAGTACGACATCGTGATTTTCTCGCTGATTTGTGGATGAAATTCGTATTTTTGCGGTTTTCTAGAAAGATTAAACATTTACACTTCAGTAGAAGGTTGATCAGCGTCAAAGTGGTCGGCAATTGTTCTGATTTGGGGCAAATTTTCGGGCTGCGAATTTTTTTTTTTTTTCTGGACAGTCGGCGATGAGATCGAATCATCTCGAATTTGATGAAAAGTAAAAGAAATTGCAATGAGCTTCTTGAGGACTAAAATTTGATTTGATTTGATACTTTTTATTTAAACAAACTAAACAGTGTTATTCCTTGTTTCAGGTGAACAATCGTGGAACTAAAGATCGTACTTCGGACTTCGCATTTAGGCGGAAACGGAAATCTGCCACAAACGAAGTACGAAGTACGGAGCCGTGTTCGTAGTTCGGACTTCGTACTGGTTGCGGAACCTCTCTTATACTTAACCTCCAATAACCACACGTGCAGATAGGAACCGATCTCCACGGTTGTTATTTCGAATAACAACCTGGAAAGCAGTTGTTATATCTATTCTATCTGTCCAGGGTTGACGGCTAAACTAAGGCTGTCCCAAGAATGAAATTTGGTGTATAGGGGTAGCTCGGACCGGGGAGTAACATAGGTCTGGTAGTCTTGGACTACCACGCCCTGTTTCATATCTATGCCTGTGCTATGCCGGGTCAACCGCATGGTATAGCCTAAAATAGAGTTATACTCACTCACGATAATTACGGGACCCAATCAATAAAACGTCTGGTGTCATAGCTATATACCCGCGCTACGCCGGGTCAACCGCAGGTATGGCCTAAAATAGAGTTATACTCCTTCACGATCATTATGAGCTTCAATCAATGAAATATAGCTCTAAATACGGCTCTTAAGAACCTGCACTGTTGAACCGAAACAGAATGCCACCTCCCTTTATTTAAGATGCATTATATAAGAGCTAAATCTGCCTATTGCAGGTATTTCCTGTGTCTTTCCTGTGTCCTCAGATGTTATATAGATTATTGACTAGACATTATTCACATAACAAGCCCATATTAACTCTTTAGACAATCGGGTGGTCGTGCTTTTTGATGGATACATATATCGATAACTTCGCTCATAATAAAGTAATCTGAGTGAAATTTTCAATATATTCCTTTTTAATTATCTATTTTGACAATATGTTAGCGAGAACTGTAAGCTCTTTTTCCAAACCTTATATAATGCACCTTTAATCTTTGGAAAGAAATACAAAATTAAAATTAGTCTTATAATTGACTTATAGTTGAATAAATACTAAAACTCAGCTGTGGAGGAGGGCGTGTGATCTAGGTTGCCACTGTCGTGAGATGCGTTACGATCGGGTTTTTCCTATTCAGTCCATGGTCTGGTAGGTGCCAATACTTTAAGATGCAATCAACACGATGACTAAGACTGACCACAATATATGATAAGACCTGATAGGGTCACCACGATTACTCCAAGATTAAAACCACGATTTCAATGGTAGCATGAATCGTGATAGTGGCGACCTAGCATAAAGCGCAGAGGTACGAACAGGGCAAAATTGAGATTGAAGTCAATGACCGAGTTTTTAATATTCACCCATTCATTCATACGTTTTGTTTTTTTTTTTTGTTATTTTTTTGTTCATACTTTCATATTTAAAATTTTATCTTTATTTTGGAAGTCATGGTGTCTTATGCTAGGTACCCGCTATCACGATTCGTGCTACGATTAAAATCGTGATTTTAATTGTAGAGTAATCGTGGTGATCCTATCAGATCTGATCATAATGGTAGTAATCGTGTTGATCGTATACGAACGTATCTGTACGTACCAGATCGTAGACTCAATAATCGTAACGCATCGCACGACGCTGGGAACCTAGCATTAGTGGTTAAATCGCTCTATCAATCCCGGTGTTGGGAGAAAAAGTTCCCCCGAATATTACCGGCGTGGTTTCCACTAGTCAGTTTTGCTATCTATCATTGTTTCGTTTTATTATCTTGACCGAAGTTTACTGTAAGCTATCAATCTTACTACTGTGACAGACAATTGACAGCTGACACATTACTAGTTTTAAACACTTTCTTATTGTTAAATCTTAGTATTTAATTGTGTAACTTGTTTCATTGTTTAGCATGACCTGACAAGGACAGCTGTCTAGTACTTGGGATGAATCATAAAATTGAGGTCCGATGTACAAGTTCGTGTGCACGTTAAAGAACCCTTGATAGTTGGGATTACATATAAGAACAGACCATAGCGCGGCGCCGCTGTCCGGGCAAAATTTTCCATTAGAGGACATTGCATGGCGTATGCACATCTTCGCATGCTCAATCGGTGCAGAAAACTGGGACTTTGAATCGCATGTTATCCCTTCATGTTATCTAGTTTTTAACTATTATAGTGAGAACTGCCAGCTCTTTATCTTATCTCCCATAATGTATCTTTAATAAAATAGTTTATTTTCCTTAATGCTATGACAACACAATTTCAAATCATAAATGTTCCATTTGAATTTTTAATGATCGAAAACTTTTTAAATATAAACAGCAGATATCAATTAGATTATTCAAATCAAATGAATCCATATCAAGAAATGAGAATATTATACAATTTAAACATTGCGCATGCTTCTATAATGATGTGAGTATCTGCCAATCGCTAGTGCGAACTCGAACGCGTCCATCGCAAACCCGAACGCGAACGCGACTTTTGAGCAATTTTACCGTTCAAATAGGGCGCGAACCCGAACGCAGAAAACCGTCGACGGCTTTCGTGATGGCTTGTCTTTTTCTAGCTATGTGAGAGATCAATTTTATCATTTGCTATCATGGCTCAGGTGGATTCAGACACATTGTCACTGTATTTGTACATAAAACAACGAAGGAAGAGAAGGCGGCGAATATCAGTGCATGAAAGTTTACAGAGAAGAAGTGAGTTTGGAGAATATCATCACCTCGTAGAAGAACTATATTTTCACCCGAAAAAATTCCAACAGTATTTTCGAATAACGATATCTTTATAATCTTTGTCTGCTTCATCATGTAGAATCGCATTCCTTTCGATTTCAATGACCATTTCTTCGGTCTTGTCCATTCTGCTTTTACAAGTAGACTGTGAATATTGCACAGTATTGGGAACGATCAGGCCTAGTGGTTTCTATTCGTGCTAATTGGTGGTTAATTGGG